GCTTTTAGCTGAAGTCTAAAAGAAAGTAGATTTTTTTTTGCAGGAAAGATGCCTGTCGTTGTTCTAAACTTGTGATAATAATAACCCTGAAATGAATAAAATTAGTTAAATGATAGGCAAATTATTTGGAAATTTATTTAGCTTTCTATGAACAGCTGAAGAATTTATAAGATCAAAGATCTTAAATCCTAAATCCAACGAAATTTTTTCGTTGTTTTTCAGATTTCTGAAAAATTAATCGTTTTGTACCTTTCAGTTCTGAACGTCTGGCACAGTATGCAATAGGAATGAAAAATCGATTCCGATTCCACTGCAGAATCGATGATTTCCTCGAAATAATCGATTTTAGAGAATCAATTCTAAATTCGGAATCGATCAAAAATCAATTCTGAGAACTCGATGATGTTATTTTTATACATCCTTAGATATGGCACACATTCAGTAAGACTTATTGGCGCATATTCATAGAGCCGCTAGAAATGAATTTATGAAAAGAAAAAATTTTAAGGAGGGCGCAGGTTTGTCATTTCCATGACCAGGTGCTGCAATATTTGTAGCATTTTAGTATGCAGTCAGTGAATCCTTTCTTAAGCGATTAATTCTCTGAATGATTATTATTATATATTATATACCCGTTAGCTAAAAAGATGGTCGAATTAGGTACGGGGAGATATTTTGAAAAATAATTAGGTGAGTAACAGGGGCATTCCTTCTCTTTTGCTCTAATACGTTTTTTAATTGGATGGAAAGAGAAGGCACGCCCCTGTTACTCACTTTCGCTACAATTATAACGAGTTGTCCCTTCTTGTTATCTACGTTCTTTGGTTTGTCATAATTTTCAATACAATATCTGTCAAAATATGTAAATAAAATACGTATGTTTTTATTAAAAAATACGTAAGTAACTACAGAAGTATTTTTTGAGTATACAGGTTTATAGCCCATTCAATTTTAGTGTAATAATGTACAAGTTTCAAGTTTGATTTTTTATAATTTTTTTGCGGAAGGTGTGTAGCGCTGCCCTTGAACTTCAAAATATGTAAATATTTTAAGGAATTTTAAAAGAGCACTTAAAAGGGGGAAATTATAAGTAAAATGGTAAATTGGGTACGAAAAATTTAGGTACTTAGGCGGGTTGGGTAAATAAGCGGGGAGGTACTCAAGAGAGGGATTTTCTTCAGATTACATTCAAAAAACACGGTGCCCAAAAATGTTGGTTACTCAAGCGGGTTAGGTACTTAAGTGGGGAGGTACTTAAGCGGGTTTCACTGTATAAGCCCTCGATATATTTTCAGTAACCAGTTTTTAAAGAGAATCGACATACCCTGCTGCTGAAATCACGCACTGAGGTGGTCATGATAGTTTGACCCGAAGAGCTATTCCCCAAAGGGTTAAAATTCTTTTAATATTTTCAATATCATTTTGTTCCGATTTGTGCTTTTTAATATACAACGCTTTTATAAATGGACTAAAAAGTAGAAAATAATATTTCTCAGTCCCACAGAATTTGTTTTGATAACTTTAGATTTTGAAATTTTAGCAAAAGTCATTATAAACAATTAATGACATTGAAAATGAAAAGCGTGGGGCGCATGCAATACACTTGAATTGATATGAAAAGTAACATATGTATGTATGTGGGCAAATGAATAACGACCGCTTAAAATCGATCTCAAATTTGTACTTTCGCTGTAGAAATTTTAGGTCTATAATATGTAGTTTGAGTATTGTCAACGAAATCGAATGCTTTGTACTGCATGCGCTCCACGTTTTTCGTTTTCAATGTCATTAATTGTTTATAATGACTTTTGCTAAAATTTCAAAATCTAAAGTTATCAAAACAAATTCTGTGGGACTGAGAAATATTATTTTCTACTTTTTAGTCCATTTATAAAAGCGTTGTATATTAAAAAGTTTTATTTTATTTTATTTATTTTTGTTAAATTTACTGAGCAAATACAGTTTTAATATTTGTTTTTCAACGATTTTTTCCCTATATTCAAGAGGCTTCTCTGAGGAGCCCTAGAGTCCGAGGAGAAAGAGAGGAAGGCCATTGAATTCCTTTGTCTTTGCTCTCTCAAGTCGGAAAGTTGGGAGGTGCCAAACCCCCTTAATTTTTTTTTTGTACCAGCCTCAAGCTCAAATTTCCTTAAACTTTAATAGATTTTAGAATGCAATGCGATTTGCATCAATTGACAAAAAAATCGAACGTAGATTCTGGTATTTTTTGGATAAATTTACGGATCGAATTGGAACTAAAAAATCGACAAAAAATCAAATCGGAAGGTCTTGATTAATCGATCTTCGATTTAACCGATTTAAAACGGTATCTCAATTACCCATATGTTAGTGTTTGCCCGAGCTTCACCTTCGATTTGTGACGTGTGCCTTGATGTTGTCACAAAAAAGGGAGGGACCTCCACTTTTACGCCGACTCCGAACGGCGATTTTATTTTTAAGAGAAGCTGTTTTTCATGCCAGAAATACACTCGGGGGTTTGCCGTTGCTTGCCGAGGCTTGCCGTTGCTTGCCGAGGCTTGCCGTTGCTTGCTTGCGACCGCTGCGCATAGGAAGGAATCGACAATATAGGACGACAAAAATGTTAACTCCATATGTATTTGACAGATTTCAATGAAATTTGGTATCATCACTGATTTTAAATATTAAGTTTTACTGTAATATATTATCCTTTATGCTTAAACTTAATAGGCATATTTTAGCGTATCGCGCGTTTAATAATATGGAGATATAACTCAAAATTTAAGTCTTTGGGGATTTAGCTATGCTTGTTAAGTAGAGTATTTTCAGTCTAACAGACAACGAAACTTCCCAAATATGGCGAAGAAATCTGTCTTTCCATCTGTATTCTTGTATACCAACTGTATGAATTGATAAAACTTTGATTGCGTTTTCTCCAAAAAACTGAAATTTTGAAATACTTCGTTAAATACTATAAACGTGAGATATTATATTTTAGACAAGCTTCAAATTAATATGATGTTGTGAAATATCACGTCCTCAGTATCAGCTAGTGGGTCTATTTTTGCAAGCATACCTCTGATTATATATAGAAAAAGTTAATGTATTTTTAATTCCTTATAAACCATACTCCCGACAACCAAATGCAATACAAAATTGCAATGCAATTGAATGAAATCTCTCTAATACATTCTTTACCCCCAACAAAATAACTTATGTATAACAAAGAATGAACGCTGACTTTTTGTGTGGTAAATACATATAATAGATATATGATGTATTGTGGAACGATTTTCCGTCATCCCTTGTTTCGGCATTGTGCTGGTTTGTCTCCAAACCAAATTTGACAAGGGTTGACGGAAAATCGTTCCACAAGACATCATACTCCTACCCTGTCGGCAACACAAACAGCCAAAAAGAAATAATAGATATACATACATAAATAAGTAACTATTTTCAATGTGGGCACTTTAGTCCCAAATGCAAATTCATAAAAAATTCGCTAGCTTTTGGTGCGGCCTTTGACCTCTCTAACAAACTCATTAATGCGAAGGAGTGGGTGAGGCCCGCGGATGGCGGGCGCAGCGCTTTTAAACGTGAGTGCTCCAGCCGCAATCCAAACTCTTATTTGATAGGGACACAGGTGGGCATTGTTATTGGCAAGAAAATAAGCAGGTTAGCAGTGCATAGTGGCCAACAACAACGACTTAGCTTTTAGCAGGTACTATGCGCTGTGGGCCATTGCAATTTGGCTGCTATACGCGCAAATATTTGCGCTAATTGAAAGCTGCCGCGAGATAAATGTGAATGCGCGTCTGAGCTCAACTACTCCTCGAACACATAATGCCACCTAATATGGGGGAAAATGCATGAAATGAAAGTAAGTCATGGCGCCCAAATGAGCTGGTTTTTATATCGACACAAGCCATGGAGCAAAAGCTACAAAAAAAAACTGCAATAGCCTGGCCTAATATAAACGACAATCACCACGCAACAAGGAAAAAAACAACTACTCAGCGAACTGGGTAAACATGTTTACTAGCAACTTTTTGTGCTGTGGTTTGAAATAATAAAATGCTCGCTAGGGAGGGAGGGCGGCGCCGCGATAGGGGTTATATAAAACCAAATTGGAAACCTCACGAAATCAATTGCCAGTGCACACAGCTCTTGTGGTCAACCGCTAGCTGCTAGCTGTGGTGCTGCATGCAACATACACGCCAGTATGGCTATCTATTGGGCGCCAAACATTCATTTGTATATATGTAACATGCAAGTACAAGTGCCGCTATGTGTGTGTCTTTATATGCTGTATGGTATGCTGCATTTACGTGTTAACCGCAAACTGCACTTGTTGTTTATTATTGCACCAGCCACAGCTGCGACCATAGCTGGTCTTAGTTATTGTTGTTCCAGTTGTTGCATTGACTATTGCCATTGCATTTACGGTACTTTTGGTTAACCACACAGTGTGGTCGCGGCTTAGACTGTGACGGTGGCTGCTCCGAACAGGTATTGTTAGCATGTGAACTCACGTTTCGCTTATTAGGCCACAGGCAAGGGACAACAGTCACAGCCACAGCCACAGCCTCAGCTACAGAGATGTGGACCGGAGGGACGATGCAGGTGAAGTGGGAGGATCTGTGCTTTGGTTTGTTGACAGCAGCACGTTAACCGAGAATGTATATAAACGGTTATTGTTATTTCTGTCCGATCGTTCATTGCTATTCGGTGTAGCACACATATTCTTACAATATTGAGGTTCATATGCTCATTGTTGTATTTTTAACATTTGGCACCTGTGTTAACTCTTTCACTCTTATGTATATGCGCTGGTGTGTTTTTGGTTGACTCCCCAACAGGTTACCACAATTTCAACTTCGCAACATGCTCTTGTTTTCTGTTCAGCTCCTTTTTTTAAGGTGTGTAAGTATGCCACGTGTTGTCGTTTACATTTAGTCTACTTTGAGAACAAGTTTCTGTTACTAATTATAATCTTACCTAATTTTCAAATCGCTATTTAGGCTACGGATATCTCAATGCGTCGGCGTCTGTCTACACCCAAAGCTAGTCCATTGTTGCTAAAACGTACCTCGTCCGATAAGCCGAAAAAGGAATCACCACTTGCGAAACCTGAAAAAGTCAGCTGGTTCAAGTCGTTGGATAGGCGTTCGAAGAGCAAATCAAAGGAAAAGGTAAGTGTTATAGAGTTTTACGAGTATTAAATACACATTACATATTTATGAATGTAGGTGTGTAAGGGCCAATTTCAGATGAATATTTAAACGGCACCCAAGTTTAATTATAGATTGTTATTTAAATACAGTTTAAAAGGTGTTCGCACGAGGCGATTTTGCGTTCAACTTTTTTTTTCGTGCAACCCTGAGTGAGTTGAACGCAAAAGTTGCTTGAAAAATCGCATCGTCCGAAAGCCCTATTAGCTTTCGTTGGGTTTCAGATCAACTTTGTTTAAATATGTCAAACAAGTGGCGAAACTAATGCTTGTTCTTTGAAATTTTTGTTTCATTTGTTTGTTTGTTTACATTTTGTGCTGAACAGCTGATTGTTGTTTGGCAAGATTGAAATAACACAAAGGGCAATAACGCATTTGTGTTATTTCCCAATTGAATGTGAAATAACACAAATTTGCTTTATTTCATTTCTCATTTAGCAATAAGACCAACTTTTAAACTTAACAATTGAGTAACCCAGTAGACAAAAAGTACTACATGAACAAGTTAAATGGACGGATTTCTAAGTCTACAATTTTGAAAGTGCCCAGCGTCGCGGCAAATATTGATGGACACCTTAGCCACACTGCTCAAAAAATCTGAAAGTCCGATACATACACATATATAAATTCATGGACGTATTTTTGCTTAAATTGCTTAACTTCGAAAATCTTTGTGCAATTTCATTAAGTGAGGTATCAGTTTATTCGAAAATATATGTTCTTTTAAGTAAATGCTACTCATTTGACAACTTTCATAGAAACTTTTAAAATTAGCGATGGTTAAATTTGAAAAAATTAAGAAAAAAGGGGCTTATTAAATTTTAACTGGTAAGAATTCCCCAAAATCAAATCTAGCATTACATTGTTATACATCATTTTTAAGGTCTATAAATCCTCTTTTCATAACATGTTGAAAATCGGATGAAAATTAGTGAAGCTATTAACAGCATCAAGTACGAACATAACGATTCGTATGGAACTATACGAAATCTATTTTTATTTTGTACTCTACCATAGCTACAACCTACACTAGGTTTAGTTTCCGGTGTATTCCATGACTTTTTTTTGTACCACCGTTTATTTAGTTGACCGCTTACCCAACTGTTTTCTATTTTTTTTTATAAAAATTTCCATATACATACAGGGCTATTTTCCTGGGAAATGTCGTGTTTAGCAAAACCATGTTAAACGATACAAGAAACCGGAAAAAAGGGGATTACGTCCCAAGGTTCAAAAATCCCACATTTTCTTGGCGGGGTTTTAATTAAAATCAAAGATAAAAAATAATAATAAAAACTTAGTAAAAGCATTAAGAATAATTATTCTTCACTGCTAACATCAAGCGTGCGTGGACGTTTTTAAAGAACCTCGGTGTCTTATTGTCTTGTGAAGTTTTTCTTTCAATTTTGCTTGATAGTTGAAAAATGTTTCGTAAGTTTCCTTATAAGGTAAAAGACTTCCAAAACCATGTTAAATTAAGCTTTTTACCGTGTTAAATGAGAATCAGCCGCAAAAAGTTAACCACATTAGAGCGAGGCCATACTATGGCGGCAGCCATATAAAAAAATACCTCTAAATTTTTATTTCAAAATTTTAATGTAGTTGATTGATTAATCCTTATTAATACATATGTGTGAACTAAATGGTTCCATTTTATAAAACAATCTTGACTAATAGCCAAATAAAAATTTAGTTTAGTAGGAAGAGAGGTGTACTGAACCTACATTTTATTGACTAGTTTTCATACAAATAGAAGAATATTAACAGGAAATATGACCACTATTTTCCGTCACGTTTATTTCAGCAGCATAAATGTGCAAAATTACCAATTTTGAGTTATTGGGTTGACTTGGTTAACCTTTAGATGTTCTATGCTATACTAAAACCCAGAGTACCATGCGTGCACGGAAACCACATATTTCACAATGGCAATTACCTAGGTACAGAATCAAAGTACCGCGATACAGCAGTCGCCAAAAGAAGCTTNTAATTTTAGTGTTTTGTTTCCAAAGTACGATTTTAACGAAAAAAAACTGAAGAATGGTTTGCTTTCTATGAAAAAGTAATCGACTGCTCGAAACAAAACTTTCTTCTGGAGGTAAAAATGTGGAAAAAACGAGTTTCACACGAACATTTTCGAAATGCTGTCGAAGCATTACAAGTAGCTAATACATCGTCTTTTGGGAATGTTTTTAAGATCTTACGTATATTGGCAGTTTTGTCCGTTTCAATAGCCACACCTGAACGAAGCTTTTCATGCCTGAAAAGAATTAAAACCTACTTGAGAAATACAACGTGTCAAGAAAGGCTCAACAGTCTAGCATATACATATGAATATTCACAAAGATATAAATTTTTCAGTTGACGAAGTTCTAGAAGAATTTTTCAAAAAACCACGAAAAATTTGAAAATTCTTCGTTTCATTGATTTATAAGTAAAAAGAAAAATTTAGTGTGTTTAAAATTATCAAAATGTTTTATAAATAAAGCGAAAAATTGAATATATGATTTTAAAAATCCCCCCCCTCCCTCCCCGTGTATCCGTCACTGGCATTAGTATTAGTGTCACTTTTGAATTGATTTTTTCGCTTTATGTTAAACTAATTTGAAATTTGAAAAATTGCCTGCACATCAGCATCGAAATACCTTTATTATTATGATATGGGTGTTTCCAGCGGAAGGTCCACCACGACAAAAAAAAATAAAAGTTGTATATCTAACGTATTTACGGGTCGATTTGTCTGCTTTTTAAAATATATACTGGCTATGTAAGTAGAATCATGTTTGCATAAAATGGTCTTCCTAGGTGGTGCCAAGGTCGAGATATTTCGAAAAACCGTATTTATGGTCCGATTTGGTTCGAATTTGGCGTATGTGGTTGAAACATAATAAATCATAGATTTTTAATAAATTGACCCTGAATTGGCGCTGAAGTCAAAATATAAAGTATATTCTACATAAAATACATGTTTTATTTGCGTTAAAAATTCATTTAAAAGCAATATTAACAAAAATATAACGATGGAAATTTATGTCACGTGACGCCACGTCACGTCACGTTTCACACTTGGCGTTGTAAAAGAGAATTGAAACAATTTGCATTAATTCAAAAAACTCTAAAAACAACTAGAATTGCTCCAAATCATATTAAAATAAGTTTCATGAAAATAGCCATCCACAATTCGCAGAGTTTTGCGATTTTGTAAGAAAAGAAAAAATCAACTTCCATTTTTTGTCACGTAACGACACTCTGTTTAAATGCTTATATTTCAGGACCAAGCAGTTCGATTGATTTCATTTTTCGGTTAAATATAGAGCTAATTATGTGCTATACAATGGCCCAAAAAAGTTAAAGAAAACAAATGGTATTCCTTTTTTGTATCACATTGAAATCGTACGACTGTCACGTGCGCCACCATGGGAATGCCCATATATAACTGCTTATACCTTAGAGGTATAGTTTAGCCGCAAAAGGGGTGTAAAGGAAACATGATTGCCTATTTATATAATTGATATCAAGCAACATCGATGGGCTTTTAACAAGTACTGCTAAAAGTCGCATAAGCAATCTAGAAATAATTTTAGATTCCTCCAGCGAAAGCAAAAGCTCGGATGTAAAATCTGGTGACATTAAAAAAAGTGAAATAAAAGCTCAGTTGAAGGCCTATTGGCCGATTGGTGCAAAACTAAACACAAATACGACAAATTGACAGATCTGGGCCGCAACTATTTGAGCGCTGCCCCCGTCGTTCCAAGTGAGCAATTTTTTAGTGCAGCCGGCCTTATACACGAGCCTCTAAGAAATTGCCTCATGGGAGAAAAGGCAGCAAATTTACTTTTTTTTGAAATTTAATATGCTCATTTTAAACTTTGACTTCAAGATTAAAACACTGTATAGACCATAATTGATATGAATGTGTATGTATGTATGTGGATATATGAATAACGACCGCTTCAAATCGATCTCAAATTTGTACTTTCTCTGTAGAAATTTTAGGTCTATATTACGTAGTTTGAGTATTGTCAATTAAATCTGATGCTTTGTATTGCATGCGCCCCACGCTTTTCATTTTCAATCTCATAAATTGTTTATAATGACTTTTGCTAAAATTTCAAATTCAAAAGTTATCAAACAAATTCTATGGGACTGAGAATTATTATTTTCTACTTTTTAGTCCATTTATAAAAGCGTTGTACATTAAAAATTTTGAAGTGAAACTTCTTTAGCGGCGGTTGGTTGGTTGGGAGTAAATTGGCAAATTCAGCGGAAATTGCACACGGATCTGGTTGGGACGGAAATGATGCAACGGAAATGATTGGGGCTGAAACAAGTACTTCTTGTGTATATGCAACGGAAATGATGCAATAGAAATGATGCAACGGAAATTGTTGGGGCTGAAATAAGTGCTTCTTATGTGTATGCATATGGTATCTATAAATTTAACAAAAAATTGCTAACAAAAGGTTAAAGAATAACACTTAGAAAAAGACCAATACAAGAATGAAAGTAAAGGTGACTACGTACATAAATGAAGAAAAGGATAAAGGCAAAGGTAAAAATAACAACGAAAACAAACATGCGTAAAGATAAAGGCAAAAATGAAGACCAAGGTAAATCTAAACACTTTACTTATATATGTATATAAGAACAAATGTGAAGGGGAATATGTAGCTGAAAAAAATGATGAACATAAAAGTAAAGACAAAGAGGAGGATGAGAATACCGCTAAAAGCAAAGATTAAGATAGGGGAAGAAAGATTAAAATAGAGGTAATTAAAGAGGAAAGGATATAGAGAGAGACACAGAGACTCAATCTTGGAACTATTTTTGGATTTTAGAGATTTTCGGGATTCGGGAGACCTATCGATAAAATAATCGATATTTTCATCGGTTTTGTTATCGATTTTGTTATCGATATTTATCGATTTGTTATCGATATTTACCGATTTTATTTATCCGATT